CAGGTGTACCAGTCAAACATATATTTGGTCTTTTCACATAATCACATATTTCTTGGAGTCTTTGTTCATTTCTTTTCACTTTTTTTCTCTAAACTTCTCTTCTCACTTCATTTCATTCATTTGATCTTCAATCACTGATACCCTTTCTTCCACTTGATCAAATCGGCTACTAAAGCTTGTGCATGCATCACGTCGTTCTCGTGCCATGGTTTTCAGCTCCGTCAGGTCATTTAAGGTCTTCTCTACACTGTTTATTCTAGTTAGCCATTAGTCTAATCTTTTTTCAAGGTTTTTAGCTTCTTTGCGATGGGTTCAAACATCCTCCTTTAGCTCAGAGAGGTTTGTTATTACCAATCGTCTGAAGCCTTCTTCTCTCAACTCGTCAAAGTAATTCTCCATCCAGCTTTGTTCCGTTTTTATGTATCTTCCCCCAGTCAAAGGACCAATGGCAAGTCCAAGACAGGAAAAGTTAAATTTTAAAAGTCAGGGATGTTGGACCCAGAGAAAGAGATGGAAATTATTAGCAACATCCATACAATAAGACACAGACACCACCCTTTTCTAACAGTGTAATTTATTACATTAGAACATGGAGGTCCCATCACTGTGCAGCTGCCCTTAAGGAGGTCTGCATGTCAATCCAAAGCATGCACTATGCTTGTTCAAATCTTCTTCACTTTGGATGCAATCTGTCCTACTAGAAAAAGTGACCATTTACAAGAGTTCCTAGCCAGTCCTCAGCACTAGGAATCCAGATTTCTTCAGAGGAATAAGCATTTGTTGATCTGGACAGTGGTACTACATAGGAAATTTTAAAAGTTAGAAAGAACAACCTATATAGGAAAGACTGGACTAAACTGGACAAATGGAACTCTAATCACTCATACTGCAGGAAGAGGCAGAAAGGGAGTTTCTCAGGATTTCCCTGATTTAACAGCCTGCTCAGTGGCTGTTATGTCCACAATTCGTGGGTGTTCTCCACAGAAGTGGCACCAGACCTCATTCAAAAATGAAGTGTGTCTATGATGCTTAGTGCTCCTCTCTGTCATGACCCTCGGGCTTCCTTCATTGCTTGCCCTCAGATGGTTGGGACCCCCATTATAATTTCATCTGTCCACTTCCATAGCAGATGTAATCATCACCAGCACCTCAACGACAGATCTGGGGCAGTCTTGCTGCAGCAAAAGATTGCTAATTTCTGAAATCATTAAATGTAAGAAATGCACATAACTTTAGCTGGCATCTAACCCAAATCCTTCATTTTACAGATGGACAAGATGAAGCCTAAAAATATAAGTGACATATGCTTGATTACATAGCTTGGGACCTGAATCTAGGGAAGAGGAAAGGAAAATAAACAGAACTAGATAATTGTAAACTATTAATATTCAATGGGTACTCTGATGGTTAATTTTAGATGTCTACTTGACTGGACTAAGAGGGACACAGATAGCTAGTAAAACATTTCTAGGTATACCTGTGAGGATGTTTCCAGAAGAGATTAGCATTTGAATCCATGGACTGAGTAAGGAAGATCCACCTTCAATGTAGGCAGACACTATCCAATTTGAGGGCCCAGATAGAACAAGAGGGCAGAGGAAACAGGAATTCATTCTCTCCAGGAGTTGGGACACCATTCTTCTCCTGCCCTTGGACATGAGAACTCCAGATTCTCAGCCTTTGGAGCCTCGGACTTGCAGTAGTGCCCCCTAGGTTCTCAGGTCTTCAATCTTAGACTGAGAGTTACATCAGTGGCTTCCCTGGTTCTGAAGCCTTAAGATTTGGATTGAGCCACCCTATCAGCCTCCCTGGTTCTCCAGCTTGCAGACAACCTACTACAGGACTTCTTAGCCTCTATAATCATGTGAGTCAATTTCCCTAATAAATCTCTCATCTGTCTATCTAATCTACCTATCTACCTATTATCTATCTATCTATCTATCTATCTATCTATCTATCTATCCATCTATCTATCTACCTACCTGTCTGTCTGTCTGTCTGTCTATCTACCTATTTATCTATCTAACATATTGGTTCTGAAAACTGATGTGAGAATTAAAAACTGAAACTGAGTCAAGTGCCTGGCACATTGTATGTATCCGAAAATTTGTTTTTAAGTTCTTGCTGTGCTACTATCTACATTAATGACTTTGGGGGATGTTTCTCAAAATCTTTTGTTGTATCTCCGTTTCATTATTTTGACAATGAATATGATAATAATGGCAAGGACCTCAAAGAAAGCTCTGTGCTGGACCTAGTTATCATTAAAGGGTTAAGTTGCAGTGTCAGTCATGGACAAATCATAAAATACAAGTAGACTCGGGACATGTGTGACCTGTCAGGCAGGACTCTGTCTCACTTGCTAAACCCCCAGGTCAAGCTATGTCTTTATGAGGAATAAGGAGGGCATTGGGGTGCATATTCCTTAAGCATCAGACATTTTCAGTTTCCTTTTATCAGGGACCATAATAAGAATGTATCTGATACATATAATGCACCAGGCACTTTACTCAGTTTCAGTTTTTAATTCTTACACCAGTCTTCTAAAATGAGTATTTCTTAACCCCTTTTACAGAAGAGTGAATGGAGGCTCAGATAAGTTAAGTGACTCCTAGATCACAGAGGAAGTGAGGGAAAGAGACAGGATTCAAGTCCAAGTTCTTTCTACCACACCAAGCTGCTTCTCATATTTTATATATCTTTATGTACCCTATAATATAAGTGGTACAAAAGGTGGGCATCTATTAACAATCTGTTCATTTTAAAATAGCCTGTAGCAAGGCAGAATGATAATGAAATGGAGAATTTGCTACTCTCTTTCTATTGTTAGTGCCATGATTAAGCTGGTGGTCATCAGAGTAGTTCTGTTCAGTTCACAATAGTACGAATAACAACTCACTGTTCTAGTCACAAAGCACTTTTATAATCCCAAACTCAAATGCCTGTGAGGTCATTGCCATTATTATCATTTCCATCATCAAAATAATGAAACTGAGATACAACAAAAGATTTTGAGAAACATTTCCCAAAGTTATTAAGGTAGGTAGTAGTAGCATAGCAGTAAAAACAAGTTTTCTGACTATACACCCCAAGCTTTTGATGAATCTAAATTTCTTTAAAAATTTGAAGGGCCTGTGAATACAGAGTAGTTTCTTACTAATGCAGTCAGTCAATGTACATTTATTATTTGGAAAATAGCAGGGAATCACAACTCTACCTCAACTGTTTTTAAACATTCATAGAAATTTAATCTGTTAATAATTGAGTTTGGGATGCCTGGAGCACTTAGAAAAATGGACTATTTTACTGTCACAGGTGAGACAAAGAACAGGCTGAGAAGCTCATAAATCACTGCATTCCCCTTACTGATGACAGAAAAACAAGAAATTCGGTGCTGCTAAAATTGGGCTTCAGGATCATTTTCACGAAAACCCATACATCCCTGAATTTCCTGAAAGAATATCTTTAGATCATGATTGAAGTCAAGTATGATTCTTTCAAAAGTTTTCCTTTAAGTAATTTTATTAGTAAAATTATTGTTTATATATATATTATATATACACTATATGTATAGTACATAGTATAGTATATATACATACATATACTATGTATTTTGTTACTCTATATATACACACACACCATATATATAGTGTGTGTATATTCTGATTCTCACCCATAATGTTTCTACAGATGTATCATTTTGGCTTAGATGAAAGCGAGCAAGCAAAAAGATGAATCACTTCATCTAATTATCTCCTCCTTAAAAAATAACTCTTTAAAGTGCTAATAAATACTTCTTAAATATATATATACATATATATATATATATAGAGAGAGAGAGAGAGAGAATATGGGGAATAATATATTGAAGGAATCTGTTGTATTTATCTTATTAATGTGGAACGGTACAAATTCTTTTAGTATATGATACTAGTGTAATAAAGTTACAAGACTGGGTCTTTTTTAATACCAGAACTTGTGTTTCCAAATGAGTATTTGACAATAGGGTAGAGTAGACATGTACAAATGAAAAGTGAACAATGTTGTCAGCCCCCTGTAGACATTTTTATAATGCTGCCATTGTTGAAGCTTTTTAACTTCTTCTTTTAGAATTACTTTCAAAGTCAGTGGCATGTTCTTTTAAATGAAGGCAATGGTGGCAAACACCCATTCTTTTGGCAGTCTTTTATTTTTGGAACAATAAAACACTCATTTGTTTCCAAGTCTAGTAATTGTTGGGAGACTGTGAAGTTATATTTAGAAGTCAGTACTTCACAGCCAAATAAATCTTAACTTGAGAGTTAAGAAAACTATAAGTCTTAAGATGAAAGCAATTCTAGACCTGACAGGTATGAGTTTTCCCCATTCAAGGGTGTTTTCAGGTTTGTTTGTTTGGTGGGGTGAGAGTGGTGAAGTGTGGAGGAGTGTGTGTATTAGCAGCACATTCTTTCCATGGCCTTCTATTCCAACAGCAAAAACTATTTCAACTACATAGATATTTCCTATTTTGATTTCTGTTGTCAGGATTATAGGTTAAAACATACATATACTTCCCATTTACAATAATAAACTCAGAGAGGCACCAAATGAATTTTCTGAACTAAAGAGTTTCTCAATTTACATTTCGTGCACCTAAAAACAACACAAGTCTCTGATAAATCTTTCTTAAGACAAGACCTGTAATATTTTTACGTAATTATGAAGACTGTGTCAGTCTAAGCTGAGGAAAAAATAGCATCTCTAGTTATAATTTAGTTTCATTTGGAATTAAATCACCTATTCATCATAATTAGTATTAGTTAGATTTTGCTGTATGTTAGAACCTTTATACATAAACAGAAACTTTTGGTGTGAAATGGTCCTAATGAATATAGAGCTTTCTTTTACAGTATGTTAGAAACTTTTATACATAAACAGAAACTTTCTTTTGTGTGAAATGGTCCTAATGAATATGGAGCTATATATATATATATATATATATATATATATATATATATATATAGTGCTGTTATCCTGAATTTTGGTTCTGTAAGAAAAGTTTCTGGGCTCCAAAGTAAGGTTCTTTGTTAATGTGAGGACCTTCAGGAAGGATCTGACTATATGCCCCAAGCTTTTGATGAATCTAAGTTTCTTTAAAAATTTGAAGGGCCTGTGAATACAGAGTAGTTTCTTACTAATGCAGTCAGTCAATATACATTTATTATTTGGAAAACGACAGAATAAATTACTACATTACTGACTCTCAGTCCAGGGTAGAACTACTTAGCCTCTCTGTTATTGGTTCACGTAAGGATAGTTCTAGAATATGTTATTTTCATTCAACAGCATCAACCAATGGACCAACCATGAAGTTGAGTAATCTGAGACATAATTCCACAAGGATTTGAAACAAATAAAAATTTTAATGATAATAAAAATGAATGTAAGTATATTAAAAAGCAAAATTTTTAAATAATACTTTCCCTAATTTTAATATATTTCCACCTGCTGAACAAATTTTTCCACTTGATATTTCTTTAATTCAAATTATTTTGTATAAACCTAAGTTGAATTTATAGTTCATCCAGGAGTCTTAATGGAGCAAAAAGGCAAAAAATCACCAAATTGTTGTTATTCTATGTCAGCAAAATGACTACCATTGCTATAGATTTTGTAGGGGAGAAATCTGGCATATTGATTATTTAGCATTACTTCAACTAGTGTTGTGTTGTGGTAGTGTTACAGTATGCAGACAGCTAGAGCTAGACATGACCAGGAGCGAGAGCCCCTGAGAAAAAGGAGGTCTGGATAATCTCACACCCCAGAGACCACCCGAAACATGCATGCAGATACGAGCCAAGAGGAGGGAAAAAAAACCTATACAGGAAGCAGTGCTCCTTAAGATGCCTAGTAATCACTCATTCTACAGTTAAGATGTCAGAATGTCACTAGGTACATGCTGATAAACGGGAAGAGTTCAAAGGAGAAAATTTGTCAGAGATTCGCAGGCACAGTAAGTATAGATTTGACCCGCTAAACAACCTTCCTGGGGGTGGCGGTAATGAGCAACGCAGCCATTAGATAAATTTGAGATCCAAACATCGAGCGCACGTGTGCACACCAACTAATAGTAAGGGAGGGTCCTACAAACCTGGGGTAGGAACTAGGTGGAGAAAAGGCAGGGATTGAAGGCAGGAGCGGGAAAAGTAGACAGAGAAAAAAGGCAGAGACTAAAGAAAGAGGAGCTAACTTCAAGAAAAAATCTATCAAAACCCAACGCAGAACTCCGGGGCTGCTGCTGGTTCACCCTCTTCTGGCAACCCGTCCGGCCTCACCTTTCAATGTACCGTCTCTCTATCTATAAACTCTCTGCTATCCATTTCCCTTCAATAAAACTCTCTGTTATCTGAATTGTCACTTGGCCGAAATCTTTCTCCCCAGACAACTAAGAACTGTGGATTCCCTTACTACCTGGTAACAGGCACTTTCACGAGCTACTACTACTAACAGTACATTATTCACTATGTGCTATTAACAGCATATTATTCACTTTCACAAGCTACTACTACTAACAGCATGCTATTCACTGTGTTTAAAATGCTTTGTATGTATTAACACATTTAACACTCACAACACCCTGTAAGAAAGAACCATTCTTACTCTTCTTTTACAGATGAAGATATAGAGGTACAGAGTGGTTAATAGGCAAAAATTGCATTTATGAAAAGACCAAAATGTTTCATTGAAAAGAAAATCTGTCAGACAAGGACAAAAATGAGCTATGTTTGCAATGAACAAGACAGAGATACTGGAGGTAAACATTCCTTCAGATGGATCAGGCTGCAGACCCTATGCTCCCTCTAAAATCTTGCAGTGGGTAAAAACAATATGTTTTTTACAAGCAAGCAAACTTCAGTTTATACTGGGAGACTATACAAATGCACATTACATGGAATAAGAACTTGAATGCACAAATGCACATTAAGGAAGTATATTATTTAGAGGTCAAAAGAATTAAGTAACTGGAATTTTAATTAGAATTCTGAGGAAATAATCATTTTTACTGAAAGGAATTGAATAAATGTATTTACTGAAAACAAAGAAGGGAGCTGCTCACCTTTTAATTAATTTACAACTCAGAACCAAAGTCTTGTGGACTTTGAATATGCTCATTTATTAAAAGAATTGTTAAGTGGTTCTAACTGATTGCATGTCATTCATTACACTACAACTTTCAACAATTTACTCAATTTCCAATATTAAGAATAGTTCACTTATTGTGGATAAAACTGGGTTATGAGATCAGAACATATTTATCAAGTCTTAAAATTAATCCAAGGCATTCAATATTAAATTCTAACTTGTATTACAAAACTACTTAGAGCAGTACTACGTTGAGCTTTATAGTTCTCTTTAATTAATGTTTAGATTTTTTTAGAAATGGTAATATTAGATTTTGTATAAATAATAGATGTCATAAACATCAACATTATTAATTTTTTATTGGTAGATTATTAACTGAAGATATTTTTAACAAAATTTTAACTTTCAATAAGAATTTAAGAAAGAAGCAGCTCAACCAAAGCTGAAATATTTAGGGGCAGTTTCTTAGAAGACAGAGAAGGTGAGGCGACAGAATAATGGGTAGTCATTAAACAAGCATGGGTGAGAAGAGGGAGAAATTCAAGTTAGATGCAGCTTAAAAAGACTAACGTTTTCTGTGACCAAGTATTTTCTGTAGTCTATAATTAGTCTAAAGTTTTGAATTCAAACTGTGCTGGTAGCAAGAGCAATTGTATTGTCATATTAGTTTTTCAAATAAATTTTATTGCATATATTTGAGGTTTACAACATGATGTTATGTAATACACATATGATTATATGTATATGTATATGGTTACTATAGTGAAGCATCTCACACACTTTTTTGTGTGACAAGAGCAGCTAAAAATCTATTTATTGAACAAAACACCCAATACAGTTCTATTAACTATAATCCTCATGTTGTATTGTTGCATTATTGATTAAGTTTTTCATTACATTTAGTCTGAGTAAACAGCAGGCTGATAATTTTTATTGTATGTTTTTGTGGTTAGTATTCTCATGTACTATTCACAGAAAACATTGTGAATCAAGGAAAATGATAGTGCTATTTTTTTCTGCAATTTACTAACAGTTCTTTGTGCATTGTCTTTTGTTTGCAATCACACACTTAAGAATGAACTTAAAGAAAAGGAACATATATACTATGAAAATCAATCAGAATGACAAGAGGACCCAGAACCATGTTACATATGTAGTACTTGAGAAAAATAGGGAATTAGGGCAAGAGAAAGAAAAGATCTGGGCTGTTATTTGGAAAAGGAAAGACAAGGAAGCAATGGGGTGGAAATTACAGATGTAGATTTGGACTCTATTGAAAGAAAGAACTAACAAGAGCTGTTAGGATGAAATGTGATGCCCCAGAAGGCATAGCACATTCCATCACTAGAGGTGTTTAAGGAAAAATGAGACAAGCCTCTGTCTAGAAAACTCAGAGTGATTTATCTGGATGACTTCTAAAGTCTCTTCAGCTGCAAAATTCTGATTCTTTCATCCACTCTGAAATTAGACTCTCCTATGAATGAGACTGGCCATGAGCGTCTTTTGCAAAAACAGTAAGGAAACATCATTCTTCTCTAAACTTAATTATTTAAAATGTTGCTGTAACTCCCTAAATTTATGTTTTATTTAATTATTGTTTGTTAAAATATCAAAAACATTTCAATTCAATGTTGAATGCTTATTATTTTCCCATATTCATGAGTTCTTCAATAAAATGTTTCCAAAACTTAAAAGTTTTCCATCTTCTGATAAACAGCCCTAACATATTTCATGTGTATGAGGTCCAGAGTGTATATTTAATCCCTGAAAAAGAAATGAGCTACTTTTGGGAAGTGCCGGTGTTCTTTTAGGCTGCCAGCACAGCACTGATGAAGAGCATGACGCTTAAGAACACCGTCTTTGGCTTTGAACAGATGTGGATTCCTGTCAGGCTGTGCTGCTGACACAGCTCTGTGAACTTCTGCCAGCCAGTCTGCCTGCCTGAGCTTTGTTTCTTCATCTGTAAGACATAGGTAATATCACTGCCTATTTTGTAATGTTATTGTATGTTAAGTACTATAATACACACAAAGCACCTATCATCCTTTCTAACTTACAGTAATCATTCAATACGTGTTAGCTGCTATTATTACTGTTGCTATTACTGTTAAAGGTTAAACCAAGAATATACAATAATTTTTTTACATTTTACAAAGTCCACAAAAATGTTACCTAGGAGTTCCTTGATATTCCAGTACTCACCTGGGTAGCAGTTCTCACAATTTGGGAAAAAAAATCATCTTTTGCTTCGTCTTTATTTTCAATTTTATAACAACTTTTTTTTCTATGTAATAAAGAGGCAAATTTTCAACATGAAAAACTTTCAAAATTGATACCATGAATAGAGTTACACCTGACATCATAATAAATTTGGAGAAACACATTGTACTTAGTACCTATGTGTGACCTAAAAGTTAGCATGTTAGTATTTTGTAGTATTTGCCAAAGTATAATTGCCATATACCATTAATGTTAACTAAATTAACAGACATTAACAAGGTTATATTTTGGTCAATTACTTTCTTAAGCTAAAAGCATTTGTCCAAATTTTCTACACAATATATTTGAACAGAAATGAGATTACTCAGTTTGTAAAAATAGCATGCATAGCTACATGCTTACATTAATGAATTCATGTTCAGAAGTAGAATAGAAAAACTCCAAACCTTACCTGTTTTCTCTGATTTTAGAAGAAATATTTTCCAAAGAACTATGAAAATTTTTAGAAATTAATTCGTCACAAATTGAATATATTAAAATTCTATATTGATATAAGAACCATCACATATATATATTACATATTACATAAATGTACATATCATATATGTGTATATACATATATATATGTCTTCCATCAGCATACCAGTTTGGTATCTACGCTTTCAGCCCTCCCTTTCTTCCTCCCCAATCTTAGTATACAATATAAAGAATTTGCCCCAGTTTGATTCATCCGCTTTCTAGAAAGGCTTATTTTATAAACACATGTGTAGCCATTTTTCCCTCAAATTCAGTGTGTTTTATGAACAAAAGCTTCCTTCTACAAAGGTGGGAACAGAGAAAGAGGAGATGTTTTACTCCACTAGGTAATAATATCCCTTTCTGACAAATTAATTAGCCAATCCTTATAATATTATTGTAAATAAGTATATGAAACAATGTCATGGCTAATTTTTAGACACTAAAATGGAAGAAATAAAAAGGAAGAAGAGAAGAAAGAGAAGAAGGAGAAAATGTAAAGCAGCAGAAGATGTATTCTATTCCATACAATAAATCAAAAGGAATATTCAGATGATAACCCAAGGCTAAGTCTTCTGACTTTGCATTTTATTTAATAGTTCATTCACTCTTAATGTAATATGAATATTTTGTACAGAAGTGGCTACAATTTTCTAAGTCTTTGAAACCAAAAGAAGGTCTAAATTGGCTCCTTAAACTTTATGCCATTAGTGCTATTTCTCAACTCAGTAACTGTATTTTCTAATTCAGTGAGTCATAGACCAATATATAAAAAAATTCATGAAAGACAAAGTACTCAGGCCAAAAAACAAGTGAGTAAAAATTCGAATGAAATAGTTGTAAAAATCCTAAACCAGTTCTGCATACTAAAAACATTTCAGATTGTCAAAGGAAGGAAGGAAGGAGGGAAGGAAGGAAGAAGGGAAGAAGGGAAGGAAGGAAGGAAAGAAGGAAGGAAGGAAGGAAGGAAGGAAGGAAGGAAGGAAGGAAGGAAGGAGAAGAAAGAAAGAAAGGCTCGCTAAGTGATTAGCATCATTACTTTCAAGCAAAAATGTAACAAGTATTACAAAAAAATTAAAAACTATGATTGCGAGTCTCAGGAAGGTTGATTGGGGTTCAACAGATTGTGAAGAAACAAGGAACTCCAAAGCCTTGAACGTAACAGTAGAACAGAGAGGTTGAGAGCCTGGACCTTGGAGGTACAAAGGCCTGAGTGATATTGAAGGTCCACCACTTTCTAGCGACAAAAAATCATGTAAGTCTTCAGTGTCTCTGATCCTTAGTTTCCTCTTCTGTAAAATGAGAACGATAGTACTTGCCCCATAGGATTGTGATAATGAATGAAAAATACTTAGCAGAGTATCAGGCTAAGTGTCAATTATCAATACATAAGGTCATTAAAACTAAGATCTCTTAAGCAAGATAGATGGCCATTTTACCTGCTTATTTGAGGATAACCAAAAGTAGTTCCTACTTCCAAAGAGCTTGACTCTGAGGATTCCAAAGGAGACTCTGTTGTGACAGTCCATAAAGCAAAGTAGAGGAAAAGGCAATAGGTAGAGAAAAAATTGCCTGTAGCACAAAAATGCCTAGATCTAGCTCCGCATTTCATTAGCATACTGAGAGAAATTTAAAGTAACCTGGTAACATAGTTCTTAAAATGGGATTTTTCTCACATCATTTTAACAATACCTTTCAAGAGTCAAGGAAACATATACATTTGGAATCTAGTCTACCACAAAGAGCACATTTTTGTGGGAAAATAGTTTTTCTGTGTTGTCGATCCAAGAAGTCATTAGATGAGATGATATCAGTAGTTCTTGAGAAGTGCCATGGATATAAAAATTATCATTTTAGAGACACTTACTTGAATAGTTTCATGCTGTCTTGTCAGAATCAGAAGTTAAGTAATTTTTCCAGAAAACTGCAGAATAAAATAAATAAGCTCCCATCATAGTTGATGATGTTGACTGAGGAAAAAGAGGTGCAGTTGTAGATCAGGCACATTGAAACTTAAGAACTTTGTAAAATATTTTATAAATGAATAAATGTCTCAGATGCATAAGATGATATTTTTTCAAAAAGTCAATCTTTAGGCTAAGCACTTCATCTTTCAGTTTTACTTTTTGGATTCTATCAAAACTTTAGCCTTACAAATATAGCCTCTAGTAAGTATATTTTATTAAATAAACAACAATCTTATAAACTAAGTATTACAGATATTAAATTAGTCATGGTAAAATGACAAAGAACTAAGTAACTCACTCAGAGCCATCCAGGCCCTATGTTGTTAAGGGAAAGAATTAACCATCCTGGTTTTGAATGCTGAGGATGCCTTTCATTACCTCTGCTGTCTAACACATTAAGTTCTCTGAACTTGTTTTTATTTGTTGAATGGGGATAAAAACAACTACTTGCAAAGTTGCTGTGAGAATATGCAAAATGCATGCGAAGAGCTGGCACTTGTAGGCCCTCATTCGTCATCAGACCCACAAAAGCACCTTGTATAGACATTTTGCTACTTAAAACAAGTTTTGGAAATTGCTTATTGCCACAGGTGTTTTCCCACTGTCCAGGCTAAAGGAATCTCCTTCTTTGAAACAGATGCAGATTTGAAATAACCAAAAATTTTAATAGCATGGATTGTCCCTGTCAAGATACTAGACTGCCCATCAAGACTCCAGATCAGTTAGGATGCTGCAGATGTCTACTGAGTAGGTAGTCCTGCAAATGAGAGCTGAAAACCAAAAGGCAAGGCTTGGTATAGGCAATGGGCCAGGAACTCAGAAAGGGCTCAGGTCCTCTGGTTCAGAAATGAAGGTAGAAAAAAAGTTAGGCTGGTGGGGAAGAGAAGTTGTTCCATTTTTATCTGAAACAGTCCTGAGACTTTTATTCTAGAGATTCTAGGCAGATTCTCATGGATCCACACTGTCTAGAGTTTCCTTCCTTTATTCAATGGACGTAATGCCCCACATCTTTTAGCTTCTTCATTGGATGAAATAATTTAATGCAGTTCTATTGAGGCTCCAACTATTTAGTTACTTAAAAGTCTCCAAGTTGGATCTTTGCTCTTTTTTTTTCCAGCAACAGCTCATGATTTTGTTATAATCTCTCTCCCAGCTCAGGGGCAATTGCCCAGTTCATCCCTCAATCTAGAAGATATATATTATCCTTTTTTACTTTCTAAAAATTCAATTATCTGCTAGTTGCTTTCCTTTCCCTGCAGGAAATCTGCTAGTTGCTTTCCTTTCCCTGCAGCTGGACATAATTAATAAATTATAAATTTTAAATTAGGCCAATCTCAGCTACTTCTCCTTAGCAACGTCTTAGCAATGACTCCGTAGGAGCTTAGTAAAAAGATTTCTTCAGAAATGATCCTAAGTTAAAATGTAATAGTTACTAAGTAGTAAAATGCAAATTTTCAAACTGGTCATGTTTTAGATAAAAATCAAAGCTGTAAAGATATGTGTCTAGAAACTCCTATTAATTTAATGAAAAAGTCAAGACCTGGCACCAGCACCTAAGTCTTTTGATTTTTGTTTATTTTTTCCCATTATAGCATGTGCTTCTCCTCTTAAAAGTTCAGTGTTAATTGGACAAAATGCAGACTGTTTTTAATAGGATTACATAGAAACTTGGGGGGGGAAAGTTGTGTGGATTCCATCTGCTAGGCTCAGATGAGACAAATGAAAACATCTAGACATCAGATTCATGAAGGTCAGTGAGGGGTGGGGAAAGGATGGTTGATTTGAGGCAATCATTAAATCACAAAGCTGCCTCCTTGATATATTCTACCAAGACAACACTTTGTGAGTCACCTAATGTTATCTCCAACCATCAGATCGCAAATCTCTGTGTAAACAGGGGAAATTATTATCCCACTCCTACTTGCAAATATTAATTGCACAATAATGACATTTACATAATGAGTCAATGAGACAGTGGAACAAAAAAAGTCAGTTGAAAATGTGGTTAAATAGGCACACAGTCCTCACAATAATAGTTTTGTATGATTAAGAGCAAATTTATTCACACACTGCCAGAGAGTAACCTATAGAGGTTTATTGAGCTGAGTTCTATACAATGGGAGGTATGAGAGATACAAGATTAGCATTATGATATGTGGAGCTTGCATTCTTATCAGGGTTGCAAAGTTAAACAAATGTAGAATAATTTAAGAACCTTTATAAGCACTCTAATTCTAAAGTGTGGGAACAGGTATGAAGTACTCAAAATCAACTAGCAGTTGAAATTAAATTATCTCTTAAGATTTCTCTCTTTGTTTTTACTGTTTACTGTATTAATTAATATTCCCCCAGAGAAACAGAACCAATATGATTTGATATATAACAGATTTTATATATAAGAGAGATTTGTTTTAAGGAACTGGGACTTGGCTCATGCAATAGTGGGGTCTGATAAGTCTGAAATTGATAGAGTAGGTTAGCAGACTAGAAATTCAGGTGACAGCTGATGTTGTAGTGTTGACACCAAATTCAGCTCAGGGAGGATTTTTATGCTGCAGTCTTGAGAATTCCTTCTTCAGAAAACGTCTGTCTTTTCTCTTAAGGCCTTCAACTGATTAGATAAAGCCCACCCACATTATGGAGAACAACGTGCTTTACTCAAAGTAAACTGATTTAATGTTAATCACATCTAAAAAAAAATCATCAGAGGAACATCTATACTGGTGCTTGACCAAACAGCTAGACACCATAACCTAGCCAAGTTTAAACATCACAATTATAGACACTCAATAATGAAGGAAATAAGTACTCATAAGGAAAATAACGCTCATTATAGTACTTTCCACAACATGCGTTTTAAAAACACGGCCCCAAAATTCTCTGACATTCCTCCTGCTGAAATGTTACAAGGAGCTCTGTCTCTCCATGTGGCTTGAGCTCTCACAGCATGGTAGCTGGGTTCAAAGTGTGAGTATCCCAAGAGGAAATTTCTGAGATGCATTTGAAGCTGCATTTTAGGAGGAAACTGAGTGATATTTTATGACCTAGCCTCAGAAGTCACATGATGTCACTTCTCCATGCTGTGCTGGTTGACGCAGTTACAAGTATTCCCTAACTCAAAAGAAGGGGAAAGAGATCTACCTTTCTCCGGGAGGAGTATCAAAGAATTTGGGGCCCATGTTTTTAAATTGCCACAGTTAATTAACATTAATTGAGCTGCTACTGTGTCCCATGCTGTGTGATCAACTTTTATGTATTTCTTTTAATTCTCCAACCTCTCTGAAATGTGATTATTACATATAAGTAAACGGAATGAGAAATATTAAATCTTCCCAAACTCCCACAGTCAGCAAGTGGCAGAGCCAATATTTTTACCTAGGCATTCCGACTCTAAATCCCACACATTTTGTATGACACAACCCTGTCTCCTATTTTTAAAAGAAAGAAATAAAGAAAAATAAAATCAAAGTTAATAAGAATATTTTTTGGTAGCCACTTAAAGTAGACATTTTTGTTTAGGTCTACCCAGCATTCATTCATTCTTCTGATAATGCAGACCACAGGCAAATTAGAAAATGTCTCCTGTCTGGGCCCTGTGGATCATGCCATGGCAAGTGGAGCTCAGGCTGGATTTCAGACCCTAGTCACCATGTAGCTGGGCACCTTCCTGCAGTGAGCATCCTGTAAAACTGTACATGTTGCCATTGCCCCAAACCACCCTCATTCTTGGTAGAGGTAAACAGGGCCCACCTACACTCCAGCTGGAATATGTGACCCAGTTTGCCTAATGGGATCCATTTCACGGCTCTTGTTGAAGCCATTAGAGAAGAAAGTTATTTTCTTTTTGCAAAAACTTTAGCAGTAGGGTAATACAAGGCAAGAGCAGCTGGGGGGCCACCCTACAAAGCCTGAAATAAAACCTCCATAGAGGAAAGCAGGACAGTAATGGGAGCTGCATCCTTGGATTCACCCTTACTTGAAGCCAGGACTATCCGTTGACTCTGCAGATGCTTGAGTGAATAATCATCCTACTTTTATTTTCATTTAAAAACAAGTTTATGTTGAATTTATGACACTCATAATCAATTGTCCTAACAGATATATCCCCATGGTCATAACTTCACTTTCTTTATCTATTAAAAAAAAAAAAAAACGGAAAAATCTTGAAAATCCTTTCTAGCAGTGATTCAACCAATGGTCTCTAAGTATATGTGCAGATACATGTCTGCACATATACAGAGAGAAAGAGAAGGAGAGAGGTAGTGGGGGGATAGAAAGACGTATATATTTCTATATAATTGAGCCTTAATTTTCTCATCTTTACAACTAGATTATAGAACTGCAGTGTCTTCAATTTCCTTCCAAAGCTGATTCTGTGATTTTCTACGGATAAGGGCAGAAAATATCCTAATTTATTTCTGTTCAGACTTCTAAACAACTCTGTAGCACTGCCACCTGGTGACCATTTGCTTCAGCTATTGTATTAGTCGTTTTCACACTGCTGATGAAGACATACCCAAGACTGGGAAGAAAAGGAGATTTAATTGGATTTTCAGTTCCATATGCCTGGGGAGGCCTCAGAATCATGGGGGAAGGTGAAAGGCACTTCCTACATAGTGACAGCAAGAGAAAATGAGGAAGAAGAAAAAGCAGAAACCCCTAATAAACCCATCAGATCTTGTGAGATGTATTCACTATCACAAGAATAACACGGGAAAGACCAGCCCCCATGATTTAATTGCCTCCCCCTGGGTCCCTCCTACCACATGTAGGAATTCTGGGAGATACAATTCAACTTGAGATTTGTGTGGGGACAAAGCCAATCCATATCATTCCTTCCCTGGCCACTCCAAGTCTTACATCCTCACATTTCAAAACTAATAGTGCCTTCCCAACAGTCCCTCAAAGTCCTAATTCATTTCAGGGTTAACCCAAAAGTCCATAGTCCAAAGTCTCATCTGAGAAAAGGCAAGTCCCTTCTGCCTATGAGCCTGTAAAAACAA